GGTCAAAGGTGGGTTCCTCCTCAGAGGTACCAGACTCAGCCCCACTGGAGTCCTTGGGGGAAGAAAGGAGAAAGAGGGGCTGTGGACTCAGGTTCTAGATTAGAGCCTCAAGGTCCTGTTAGAAGGTAGGAGTAGGGCTGGGATGGTGGCTCAGTGGTAGAGCGCTTGCCTTGCATGCCTGAGGCCCTGGGTTCGATTCCCCAGCACCACATAAGATAAAAGCCGGAAGCGGCGCTGTGGCTCAAGTAGTAGAGCGCTAGCCTTGAGCTGAAGAGCTGAGGGACAGTGCCCAGGCCCAGAGTTCAGGACCCACGACCGGACCCAAAAAAAAAAGAAAAAGAAAAAGAAGGCAGGAGTAGAGTGCTGGCCTAACACATATAAGTTCTAGGGATTAGGGCCTCAGCTTGGGAGAGGAGAGAAAAACAACACAAAGCCACAGGCAAATGAGCACAAGCAGCAGGATTCTTACTAACAGTTTTTTATTTTTTGGTCCGGTCGTGGGGCCTGAACTCTGGGCCTGGACGCTGTCCCTCAGCTCTTCAGCTCAAGGCTAGCACTCTACCACTTGAGCCACAGCAGCACTTCTGGCTTTTTTTCCCCCTGCTTATGTGGTACTGAGGAATTGAACCCAGGGCCTCACGCATGCAAGGAGAGTGCTCTACCACTGAGCCACCTTCCCAGACCCCTAACAGTTTTGTAAAAGGCATAAAACCCCAAGAACCCACCGAACTAGTAAGTGAAGAATTGCTCATGGCACCCTAAAATGTGAAAGTTAGGGGTTAGAGGTGTGGCTCAGGTGGTAGAGCAATAGCCAATGAGCAAAAGCATCAGGTACTGAGTTTGAGTCTTGATCTCAGAAGAAAACAGAAAAGATGAAAATACTAGCTGGGTGATGGTGGTGGCTCAAACCTGTAATCCTAGCTATTCCTTTTTTTTTTTTTGTCGGTCGTGGGGCTTGAACTCTGGACCTGGGCGCTGTCCCTCAGCTCTTCAGCTCAAGGTGAGCGCTCTACCACTTGAGCTACAGCGCCACTTCCGCTTTTCTGGTGGTTTATTGGTGATAGGAATCTCATGGTCTCTCCTGCCCGGGCTGGCTTTGAACCACGATCCTCAGATCTCTGCCTCCTGAGTAGCTAGGAGCCACCAGTGCCAGGCAATCCTAGCTATTCTAGAGACTGAGATCTGCAGTCCAAAGCTCCATGCAGAATAGTCTGTGAGACTCCAATTAAGTACCAAAAAGCCAGAAGAGAAGGTGTAGCTCAAGTGATAGAGCACTAGCTTTAGGCAAAACAAGCTAAGGGAGAGCATCAGACTCTGAGTTTATGCCCTTAGTTTTGGCACAAAAAAAGTGAAAGCACTATATTATTCAACTTCAAGAAGAAACCAAGTATAAACACATGCTATACAACGGAAATCCTGAAAATGCCATAAAAGATGGTTGGTGTGACACAAGGAGAAGGCCCTGAGTTCAAACCCCCAACTAAAAGAGGCTAAACAACCCTGCAAATACACTGGGCCATAATGCACTTACATTCCTATAGTACCAGTAAGGGAAATAATACTAGGTTGAAGGGACTGCTGGACAGACTCCAGGAAATCTGCAGATGAGAGCTGTCCTGAGAGCTGAGGAAGTGCTGTTGATGCCCATGAAGGATAAGGAGGAAGGATGGATTGTGGCAGATAAGGCAAGAGATGAGAGCCTCAAGTGGGCCTGGCCTTGATGGCGTACTGCAACAGGAATATGTCACACTACAAGCAACTGGAAGCCAGGCTGTTGCCCCTTCTCTTGCACCAGGGCTCCCTCAGGAATAAAGAGGGAGGGGCATCTCTCCTTTCCCACAGACAAGGAAACAGAGGAGCAGAGAGGACCTAGTTTCCAGCCAGGCTCCCACAGCAATGTTTCATTCAATGCCTTCCACCGCTGCGTCCAGAAAAGATGAACAAAAAGGGGAAAGCCGGAAGCCTACCTTCTTGGAGAAGAGGATCTGCGTGGAATCTCCGGCCTCCTCCACCGGGGCCCAGTGCAGGAGGACGTCATTGTCCTGAGGGAAGTGAGGGGGACTTGGTGGGTCTCCCACCCCAAAGTCTTTCGCTGTCCACAGCCCGACCTCATTCTAGTTCCCACCCCGGTCTTCCGAAGATCTCCTCAGGTTGACTTCCCTCCCGCCTGGGGCCCGCCCAGCCCAGATCCCTTCGGCCTCACCTTCTCCACAACACGAATGACGCCCGCGATGAGGGAACCCGAGTCCTGGTGCTTCTTGGCGCTTGTGTGTAGGTACACACCGCCCTTCTCAAACACCACCTGCAGGAGGGACTTAGTAAGCACCCGGCAGGTGCAACCAATAGGAACGGCCTGGGGGGAGGAACTAATGCAGGGAAGGCGGGGCCAGAGACGCAGAGCGGAGGCGTGGTCAGGCTCAGAGACCCGCCCAGCGTTCGGTGTCAGCGCGCATTCCAAGGGGGCGGGGCTAAGAAATGCTGTCTCCCTCCGGACCGTGGAGGGAAGGGTGACAGCGCGTTTATGGCGGGACGGCGTTTGCCGAGGCTCTGCCTGGTCATCAGCGTCCCCACACGCCACGAGAGAGAAACACATTACGAGACGGGGGCGTTTCGTATAGGCGCAAGCCAGGGAATGGGGTCAGGGTACTTACCCTGTAGCCGGATTCTTCCATAGCCGCCGCTGAGGCCCCACTCTCCCGGCCAGCTCCTTTTCCGGGTCAACGTGTTGTCACATCCGGAGAGAGCACTCCCCTCCAAGCTAGCCAAATGGTAACACTCCTACCTTACTGGAGCTGGAGTGGACGAAACCATCTGTCAAAATGGGGGAGACCAGTAATACAAAAAAAATCTAGTCACATGACAGGCGGCGAGCGTGGAGGCCGCCAGCGATAATACGCATGCGTAGTGCTTCCACTCGCGCCACGAAGTAAACAAGTGGGTGGATCCCAGAGCGCCATACCTCGGGCCTCCCGCGCTCCCGGGAACGCCCACCTCCTCCATCTTGTGTACTGGCACCGACGCTAAGGCACGTGCCATTTTGCTCGAGGGCACAGCCGTAGCCAGCCGGCCGCGGCCATGTTAGTGCGGGGCACCGCAGCGAGGTGTTGGAAAAGGGGAACAGATAAGGGAAAAGGTGAGAGGAGCTGTTCAGCCGCAGAGGCGCTGAGGGACGAAGCCGCCAGCGGCCCCGGAGACGAAGCCGCCCCCGATGAGTTCCTGAGTCACCGCGGAAAGTGGGTGGAGCCGCCATTTTGAAGCTGGGCAAACCGAAGCAAGAACTACTGCCATATTGGATCTTTGACAGCTTGATGCGGAAGGGGGGTAGGTTGGAGGGAGGGAGAGCCCACATACATGGTGGACAGGTGAAACCCGACTGACTGTCATGTTGCGGACGGACACCGTGCCCTTCGCGTCTAAAAACTCGATTACCAGCGAAGGGACGTGTGGTGGCTTCCTCGGTTTATTACGGTCCTGGGTGAACATGTGCGGACAGCCATCTTTCTTGGGGGCAATCAAACTGGTCTAGGCTAGTTTCTGCCTCAGGCGATCCCTCACACCATCTTCCTTATGGGCATTCTGCTTTTTGTCATTGTCCACTAATGTGGATGAAGCCTCCGTGTCCGCCATATTTGTCTTGGGTGGCCCCGGAAAGGGAGGTGGGGTGTGCGCCGAGGAGGCGGGACATGCAGGCGGAAGTGACGTGGGGCGCCGCCATGCCTTTTGAGGGCGGTGACGGCGCCTGGCCGTCCATGCTGGCTCCGGGCACGTGAGTGGAGGCGGCGTTGTGAACCCGGGTATGGGGAAGCTTTGGCCGTACTGAGGTCGAGGGGCGCTGGGAGAGAGTGCGGCTAACGGGAGGGGCCCAGCTGGCATTGGTTAGGGGTCAGCTCGTCCAGCGACCCTCGGTTGAGTGCTGGAACAGAGTGTCCCACAGGAGCCTGTCGTGCCTTTCTCGAGGCAAATCGTAGACAGCCTCGTCTTTCAGGGCTCAGATCCATTTGGGGTGCTTAGCCTTGGGCGTGGGCAGTGTACGCACGGCTTCGCGGGGTCGTTCGGGGGGTTCAGGGAGCCCCTCACCCGGCCAAAGGCGGGACTTCCGGTCCTGGCCCCTCACCTGGGCGGGATTTCCTGTTTTCTTCCTAGACCCGTGGTTCTTGGCTGGCTCCCGGGCGTGGTGGGGTGCTGAGCCCGACGTTCAGCTCGCCCCAGCATGCCTTCACTCCCGATCTGTGGGGTGTCCCACTAGTGACTCTCGGTCACTGGCGGACACTCCCCTGGCTACACCTCTTGAGAGGCCTGTCACCTACGCCCCCCTCCTGGGAAGGTGGATATTCGTCTCCTGCCCCATCTGTCTCCAGGCCTCCGATCCTAGGAGGCGACAGGATTTCCTCCTGGAGGGAGGGCCAGGAGACTGCCACCACTTGGCTACTTTCCTGTCGGGTCACGGCCCCGAGTCCCCAGGCCTTCCCAGAGAGGTCCGTGTAAGTTGCCCTCTTCCTTTTTGCAAAACTCTGGCTGCTCTCTGAAGTGAGGGTACGGTCACGAGCCATTCACTTGGTTTCATCCCAAGATCTAGTGCAGAAATGACTGGGTCCTTTCCCTGGTATCATTTTAATGGAAGCCTCTTGTTTCCTAGGGACTGGAAAGTGAGAACCCAGGCTGGTGTGTCCTTGGGCAAATCACATCCTTGCCCTGAGCATCTCTTTCCTCCATCAGATGGGGGAAACCCTTGGGTCTCGTTATAGCTGTGTGCCTCCTGGGCAGTGTGGCAGTTTGTGTGAGCCTCACTTTTCCCTCCTGGAGGGCAAGACTATAATTTCTAAGGCAGCCAGGGTGGCTGGTGGGGATAAGAACAGGCTTAAGAGCCAGGTGTGGTCTGGTGGCTCAAACCTGTAATCCTTACTATTCAGGGGGCTGAGACTGAGATCATGCTTTGAAGTCAGCCCAGGTAGAAAAGCCAATTAACCAGCAAAAAAGCAGAGTCAGAGGTGTGGCTCAAGTGGTAGAGCACTAGCTGTGAGCAAAAAGCTGAGCAAGAGCCAGAGGTTCTGAGTTCAAGTTCTGGCTCTGGCTGTCCAAGTGATGACTGCAATTCTGCCTCTTTCTGGCCCTGAGGCTTAGTTGGCGGGGTGATGATCAGAGCCCTCATAGGGAGGGGAGGAAGGGCTCATGTGTGGGCCTTGCCTGGATTAGCCTTCCTCTTGTTCGGTTAGCAACTTCCATCTTGGTGAGTGAGCTAGGAGGTGAGAGGTATGCAGTCCTTGCACAAGTTAAGTTTCCAGCACATTGGCTCCCATGACTGACACTGATAAAGGCCTACACAATGAATTCTGTGTCCCAGGATGGGCTTGAACTCCTCTAATGCGTTCACTACCTCTTCAAAGAGGCTCCCTGCTGTCTGCTAACCCTATCTCAACTGCTTTGGTTAATGGGGAAGAAAGAGGCACAGAGACAACCAGTACGTGAGCCCAGGGCACACAGCAGTTTTCAGTCAGCATTCAGGTAGAAACCCAGCATTCTGCCTCTTGGTTTTCTCACTGTTGTAGTCTGCCTGGGGCCGGCCTGTCTGGAGGGGCATAGCGCCCTAGCCTGGGGGACTTAACAGACTGATGTAGGAGGCGGGCAGTGGTACAGCTGTCACCAGCTTGAATGACAGGAGCTGGAATGGAGGGAATGCAGGCGTCCAGAGAACTCTCTCAGGGAGAAAGGAGGTGTTTGGTGTGGGCATGCACACTGCTCTCCCCTTCCTCAGCTCCTACCCCAGGCCACCCAGTTGTGGGAGCAGACAGGGAAGGGGCTGGAACACGACACTCAGGCACTGTGGATGGCAGCCTGGGGTGAGGAAGAATCCCCTCCACAGGGCTGAGAGATTGGCAGTGCCAGGTGGGCCAGTGTCCGCCTCAGCAGGAGAGGACAGCAGGGTGGGAGCCGGGGCCCGGATTGTCTTTTAGCGTAAGCTGCAGCTGTAAGAGAGAAACAGCTGGGATCCATCGCAACCAGCTACTCTCTTCAGCCAGCTGGTCTCAAATGTCATCTTCTAGCATGGACTTGGTGGTGGGCAGGTCGCTACTGACAACTTTTCCTCCCACTTACTGGTATAAGCCACCTTGTCACTAGAGGCTGCGACCTCCAGGGTGAGGATGAGCCATGAGAGACATGGTGACACAGGATAGGTGGCGAGGAGGGAAGTAGGAAGTCTGGAGAAGGCACCACAGTCAGCCGGGACAAGCAGGGTGCCATGGGTGCTCAGTGCCCCACGGGCACCAGGCTATCCCAGTTCCCCTCTCCTGCTCTGGCCCACAGGGCGCGGATGGCGTCGGGGCGGCCGGAGGAGCTGTGGGAGGCTGTGGTGGGGGCTGCCGAGCGCTTCCGAGCCCGGACTGGCACAGAGCTGGTGCTGCTGACAGCCGCGCCCCCTCCACCCCCCCGCCCGGGGCCCTGCACCTACACTGCCCATGGCCGCGGAGCCCTGGCCGAGGCTGCCCGCCGCTGCCTCCATGACATCGCACAGGCCCACAAGGCGGCCGCTGCAGCCCGGCCCCCTGGACCCCCACCCGCCCCACAGCCACCCAGTCCTGTTCCCAGCCCACCCCGGCCAGCCCTGGCCCGAGAGGAGGAGGAGGAAGATGAGGATGAGCCCACAGAGACGGAGACCTCTGGAGACCGGCTGGGCGGCAGTGATAATGGAGGTGAGAGAGCTCTGGGTGGGGGCTCCATGGCCTGGCCCTGGTCAGCTCTCCAAATGGGGCTCTCCTGGGAGGGACACTGCCAATGACATTCATGTTGAGATCCCAAGATCCTCTAGGGAGGCTGGCTTAGAATGAGCTGCGTGTCCTCGGACCACTCAATTACCCTCTCTGAGCCTTATACCTATGTCCTAAAGTTAGTTTTTGTTGAGGCTCTTGGGAGCCTCAACGTTTTCACAAAGTCAGGGCTCCGAGCTAGTGGTCTCACCTTCCAGAAGAGCCACGGCCACAGAATACTAGGTGGTTTGCATGTGTGTGCGTGCATGAATTTGGAAGTTGGATACTTCCAAGACTGGACTGTAACGAGGCTTTGAGGAGTAGGAGTTCTTCATTTGTTATTACTCATGGCCAGTCTCCTCTCCATTGCTGAGAAAACCACACAGACTAGAGGACAGAGTACTAGGTTCAAATCCTCCTGGTGATGCCACTTTTTAAGCTATGAGCCCTCAGGCAGGTGATACAACCCACGTCTCCACCTGTGAAGCAGGAGCCATCTTCCATCCTGTCAGCGAGGTTTTTTTTTTGGGGGGGGGAGGTTCGTGGTGTGGGCCTGAACTCGGGGGCTGGGCCTTGTCCCTCAGCTCTTCAGCTTAGGGCTAGCACTCTACCACTTGAGCCACAGCGCCACTTCCAGCTTTTTCTGCTTATGTGGAGCTGAGGAACGAACCCAGGACCTCATGCATGCAAGGCAAGCACTCTGCCACTGAGCCACCTTCCCAGCCCTCAGCAAGGGTTTTGAGTCACACCATCCCAGACATGTTAGAGGTGTCTGGTCATGCTTGGTGTTGGCTCCCAAGGGGCAACAGGTGGACAGGAATGGCTCCATTGGTGACGAGGCTGGTGCCAGGCATAGCAGAGGCAATGGCCGGCTGTAGGCGGGGCATGTGGTATGGGCAGCCTGACCATGGGCCTGCGCCATCCACAGGGCTCTTCGTGATGGACGAGGACGCCACCCTCCAGGACCTGCCTCCCTTCTGTGAGTCAGACCCCGAGAGCACAGATGGTGAGTGTCCCCTGTCCCCGGCTCCCCCCGTCCCCCTGGGGCCTGGGACCTGTGCAGAGACGGGGCTGAAGTCGGCCATGGTTTTGCAGATGGCAGCCTGAGTGAAGAGACTCCAGCCGGCTCTACCACCTACTCGGTGCCCCCTGCCTCCGCACTGCCCACCCAGCAGTATGCCAAGTCCTTGCCCGTGTCTGTGCCTGTCTGGGCCTTCAAGGAGAAGAGGGCAGAGGCACGGTCCTCGGATGAAGAGAATGGGCCGGTGAGGGCAAGGGGGACTGGGCGGAGGGGGGGTGGGTCAGAGCCACTACCTCCAGGGATGCACTGTCATCCCGGGATTGGCCGTGGGGTCTCGCCAGAGCCCCTTGGCCCTGGATCCTGGTGCCTTGTGGGAAGCAGCTCCAGTTACTGGACACTCGGCCCTGAGGTCTGCCATGTCTGCTGTCCTCTCTTCTGCTCAGCCTCCTGGCTCCTGGGCCATGGCTGTTATTGGCTCAGGACCAGCCCTTTTGGTGGCCGTGTGATGTCCCCGCACTGTCATTGCATCTGGGCCCTTGATAACCCCTTATTTCCAGGCGAGACTGAGGCCATGGAGGTTCCCTGCTGGTGGGTGGCACGTGCACGCCTAATGGACGGCAGCCGTGGTGGCCCAGAGCGGGGCTGGCAAAGGGCAGAGCGGCTAGGAAGGCTTCCTGGAGGAGGTGGTGTCTGCGTGGGGTGCAGCAGCTCCTACCCCGGGCAGGACGAGGTGGACCAGGCACCAGAACCAGGGCGGGACGCGCTGGGCGGGCCTGGGCCCCCAGTGCAGGCTCTGACCCCTGGGGTCTCGGTTTCCGCAGCCTTCCTCGCCCGACCTGGACCGCATCGCGGCCAGCATGCGCGCACTGGTGCTGCGGGAGGCCGAGGACACCCAGGTCTTCGGGGACCTGCCTCGGCCGCGTCTCAACACCAGCGACTTCCAGAAGCTGAAGCGGAAGTACTGAGGCCCCAGGAGCAAGGCTCCGGGCCATGGCCGCCCGCCTCACACTACGCCCCCGCCCCGCCCCCGGGGCTGGCCAATCGGAGAGGGGTCCTGGCCCGGCCTTGGGGGGGGCCCAGCCAATCCCCAACTCCCTTCCGGCCCGCCGCCTCCGCATGAGGGGGCCCGGACTGTCCCGTTTCCTGATTGGTCCGTTGGCCTTTTTTCTGCCCAGCGACAGTCTCTTTCCTCGGTGGGATTGGCTCGTTCCCCGGGGGCGTGGCTAGTACTGAGCCGCTGTCGTTCTTTCAAGCCACGGAGTTTTGAGTCGCGCGACTGCTGCTCCGGGCCCGAAAGCGCCCGGCCGAGCCCCAGGATTGGCTAGTGGTGTCCACGGCCTGGTGACTGGGCAGCTCTTCCAAGCGACCGGCTCCGATCAGCCGCGCGGAGGCGTGGCCGAGCACCCCTGCCGAGCCCCGAATTTACACTACTGGGCCGGGTCTTTTTTTTTGCCCGTCCTCACAATTGTACCCCTACTTCTCAGGGATGGCCCAGTCCTGTCCCTGCGTGTCACCGGCCCGTCCCACAACAGCCTGCCAAACAATCTCTCTCGTCCTTGCGTTCAGGACGGTACCAGCTCTCGCCCCTTTCCCCCCACCCCCACAGGTGCCTTAAAGGGCCCTCGTCCACCCTAGGTGGGGGGCAGGGGCTTCACTCTCCTGCCCTGGCGTGGGGAAGAGAGTGGGGTGGGATTCGGGAGTTGGGAGGGGCGCTCTGAGATTAAAGTTTTACCTCTGATACACGAGTGTCAGGTGTTGAGTGCTGAACCTTTTCTAAAGCCAGAGAACATCGCCAAGCCAGAGGTGAAAAGGTTTGCCCCAGCCGGGCACCGGTAGCTCACGCCTGTCATCCTAGCTACTCAGGAGGCTGACATCTGAGGATCACGGTTCAAAGCCCGCCAGGGTAGGAAGGTCCATGAGACTCTTCAATAAACCGCTAGAAAACGGGAAGTGGTGCTGTGGTTCAAGTGGTAGAGCACTAGCCTTGAGCTGAAGAGCTGAGGGACAGCACCCAGGCCCAGAGTTCAAGCCCCATGGCCAACAACAACAACTAAAAGCTTTCCTCCCCGTTTTATGGATGAGAAAACGGGGATTCACAGGGAGAACAGTCCTGTGTTCATGGGCGGGATCTACATTATCAGGGGGATGACTGTTAGAACTGGAGTCTTTGAGGACTGGAGGCCAGGAATACCCACACAAGACCGCCTACTGGGCCTTGCCTGGCATGAATAGGCTGCCGGAGGGTAGACACTGGCTAGAAATTAGGGCTGGCAGAATTTAAGATGAGTATCAAGGGATGATGGATATTATTTACAAAGAATATGTATTTAGCCTGGCCCTGGTGGCTCATGCCTGTAATCCTAGCTACTCAGGAGGCTGAGATCTGAGGATCTCGGTTCAAAGCCAACCTGGGCAGGAAAGTCAGTGAGACTTAACTCCAATAAACCACTCGAAAACCGGAAGTGGTACTGTGGCTCAAGTGGTAGAGCACTCGCTTTGAGCTGAAGAGTGCAGGGACAGCGCCCAAGCCCAGAGTTCAAGCCCCACAACCGACAAAAAAAATATATATATATGTATGTATTTATTTATCTTCTATTGGTCACATAGTCCATTACAAAGTACCTGTTAGCCACAGACTTTTGCTGCCTTGTTATAAACACTATTTGCTCACACTATTTACTCAGTATAAATTCCCTCTTTCTTTTCCTCCGAAACAAATCCAGAGCTATCTGGACTTTTTTTTGTCTCCTAAACTGAAGTTCTGAATACCCCAAAATAAAGTCCTTTTTTTTTTAAAGAATGAATATAGAGTCTGGGAATGTGGCTTAGTGCTGGAGTGCTTGCCTAGCATGCATGAAGCCCTGGGTTCCATTCCTCAGTACCACATACACAGAAAAAGCTGAAAATGACGCTGTGGCTCAAGTGGTAGAGAGCTAGCCTTGAGCAAAAGAACCTCAAGGACAGTGTCCGGGCGCCGAGTTCAGCCCCTAAGACTGACACAAATAATTTAGGGCTAGGAGACTGAATAGCGTCTCACATCAGAACCCCTCCTGAGGAGTGCAAACAATGGCGATTTTACGCAGGGCTAGTTGCCTGCATCCATACGTTCGTTCTTAAGCTCTGGCAGGAACTGACCATCTTCACTGTAAGAGGGAACTGCGGCATGCGGGCAAAGGAGAACATCTTGCTGTGGCGGGCGCGATCGTGGGGTGGGGGCCCGGGTTTCTTCCATTGGCGAAAGGGATCACCGAAAAGCACGGCAGGCTTTTATCTACTCCAGCCAAGGGGCCGCGGAAAACCTGCAGATGGAGGCTCCACGCGCCTCCTACTGGCCAGGATCCCACACTGCAGTCGGGATGCCGAGAGGGCGGAGCCACGGGGGCCTCGGACCGCCTAGAGCGGTCCTAAGGCCCAGAGGGGCCCGGCTCGCGGTGGGAGGGACCAAAGCACCGCCTCTGCGTCACTTCCGCCTACGGAGTAGTAGAGCGGCGTGCCGCGGGCGGAGCCTCTAGGGCGTCTACAGACTTCACCGGTGAGTACCGGGAAGCGTGAGAGCGCGCAGGGGCGGTGGGGCGCCCTCCTCCCCGACCCCCCAGGGCTTGGAAGGCGGTCGGGACCCGAGGCCCGATGGGTGGTGGCCGACAGGGGAAGTTCCCAGTGACCTGGAGGGGGCGGGACTCCCGGGTTCAAGCCCGGCCACTCGTCACCTGCCGCGGGTCCCTCCTCATCCCAGGCCGGAGCCCACGATGGCCGAGGGCGAGGCCCGAGGCCGCCTGTGGCTGGAGAGCCCCCCAGGGGGGGCGCCCCCCATCTTCCTGCCCACGGACGGGCAAGCCCTGGTCCTCGGGCGCGGACCCCTGACCCAGGTTACAGACCGGAAGTGCTCCCGAAACCAAGGTGGGTGGGGCCTCGGCGGGAGGGGGTGGGGCCTGCGCCGGAGCGGGACCCGGGTGCTCTTGGAAGGAGGGCAGCACCGTCATCCGAGAGAAGGGGTCTGCTAGCAGTCTTTCCCAAAGTTGACGGGTGTTCCTGGGAAGCTTAGGAAGCTAAAGGCTGTGCCCGGGGAGGGCAGGGCGGGGTGAATCCCGGGAGAATTATCCTGGGCACCGGAGGTGCAGAGGGCATCTGGAAGCCTGAAATGGGCCACTGCCCTACCGACCCCATGGGAAAACGTAAATGTCCTTGGTGATCTGTGTCTTCACTTGGTGCAATCCTGAGCAAATCGCAATTGTACATGGTCCTAGGAACTTTCCCGCTTAGAAGCCCATTCTCCCACTTCTTGGGGGTCAGTGGTGGGATGGGTACTGTGGCCCCCCTGCTTCTGCTGAGGCCTGGGAGCAAAACCTAACGCAGCCCCCTCAATCCTCAGTGGAGCTGGTTGCAGACCTAGAGACCCGGACGGTGGCAGTGAAACAGGTACCTGGGCTTCAGCAAGGGCTGGGGGCAGAGTTCCTGGAGGACTCACCATAATAGGGAACTTTTTAATTGGGCAAAATTAGAAGCTTATGGCCTTTCCAAATCCCTGATTGGTCATGCGTAGCAAGGAGGTGGGGCCTGAAGCTTTGACTGGTCATTGAGAAAGTTGAGCCTCTTCCAATGGAAGAGGCTCTTGGAGTAGAGTTATTCCCAGCTGTCCCCTTTTTCTCTGCAGCTGGGTGTTAACCCTACAACTGCTGGGACCCAGGAATTAAGGCCAGGGTTGGAGGAGTCTCTTGGTGTGGGGGAGACACTGTATTTGGTCAATGGCCTCCACCCACTGACCCTGCGCTGGGATGATACCCGCACACCAGGCCTCCAACCAGATTCTCCACCTGGCACCCCACCGGTGACACCTCCCAGGGAGAAGCGGGAGGAGGAGGCCAAACAGCAGAAAAAGAGGATGCGGACAACATCCCCAGGTTGGCAGAACTTGGAGAAGCTGCTGGTGTTCACAGCACCTGGAGTAAAGTCTCAGGACAAGGTGAGGGTCACACCGGAGTGGAGAGCAGTGGGGGACCCAGCTGATCCAAGGGCGGCTGTAAGGGCCTGCTGTATGTAGGCCCATGCTGCCCCCAGGGACTGGGCTTCAGTGATGACCAGCCTGGCCCTTATTCTGGTCTTATTCTCAACCCTACATGAACCTTAAAACACAGGTGACCTGATGGGTTCTGAGTGCCCCGTAGAATCCTTGATCTGGTTTTGACCACCTTGAGCCTGGGCCTTGCATGAGACATGCGGACCCCATGTCTCTGTGTCCTCACCTCTGAGACAGGTGGGGCTGCAGAGAGCAGGTGGAAGCCTGGGTGAGGCTTCGAGGGTGCAACTATCCTCCATTCTTGCTGTTCCCAGGTGGCTGCTTTTGATCTGGACGGGACACTCATCAGCACCCGTTCTGGAAAGGTCTTTCCTACCAGCCCCAGTGACTGGAGGTGAGAAGGGGCCAGAGAAGAGACCAAGTGACCGCTTGGAGCCCCTGGCCCTTGCTCAGGCGCTGCTTCTCATCTGTCTTAGGATCTTGTACCCGGAGGTTCCTAGGAAGCTCCAGGAGCTGCATGCCCAGGGCTACAAGGTGTGTGTGCATGCCCGTGCTGCAGGTCCGTGGGGGGCCTGGGTGAGGGGCCTCCTGGTGACATCATCTGCTCCTCAGCTGGTGATCTTCACCAACCAGATGGGCATTGGGCGAGGGAAGCTGCCAGCAGAGGAATTCAAGGCCAAGGTGGAGGCTGTGCTAGAGAGGCTGGGGGTTCCCTTCCAGGTATGGCTAGAGGGAGGCTGGGGAGAAGCGGGAAGGGACGGGGGCCTTGCCAGGAGGATGGGGATCCAGAAAGAGCCAGCCCAGCATGAGGCCCAGGCAGGAGCTGGGACAGACCTAGTATACGCTAGAGGAGAAGCCAAGGAGGCCTAGGTCTCTGCCATACCCACAGGTGCTAGTGGCCACGCACGCGGGGCTGTACCGGAAGCCAGTGACTGGCATGTGGGACCACCTGCAGGAGCAGGTGAGCCACCCCTTCCCCCCACCCGCCGGGTCCCATGTCCTGGGACCTCCTCTTCCTCTGCCTCCCTTGGTCCTTGACATCGGTGTCTAGCTGTCCTGTCCCGGGGGTGGTTTGAGCCCAGTGCTCTTCAGCCATGAAGACCAGAGTGGCTGATGGGCCGTTGTGGGCATTCGTTTGTGCCCCTGTGTGCCAAGGACTCCTAGTGTGACCAGCCACCCACAGTGCTTCAGGACCTGGGTGTCTGCAACCTGAATACCTGGGCTGGTATAGGGCACTGGGGGGGGGGGCTGTGAGGCAAGATAAAGGGGTGTCATTTTGGCCAAGGTAGTGGGGGCCTCTGAGAAAGTGTCCTTTGAGTAAAGGTCACTGGAGTAAAAGCTGCTGGGCTGGGCATGGCAGACCAGGCCACAGGTGGCTGGACGTGGGCACAGCGCGCCCTCTGCTGGCCGCCGGGGGCCAAGGTGGGGGAACCAGGTGCCAAGTGGAGTCCAAATCCTGGACCACTGGAGGGAAGGGACGTGAGATGTGCAGTGCAGGACAGTGGAGCAGCGGGGACCCCCTCCATGCAAGGTGTTGGGGTGCTCAGTACCTGTCTCTCCCAGGCCAATGAGGGCGTGTCCATCTCCATCACAGACAGCGTTTTCGTGGGGGGTAAGGCAGAGGGGGGTGAGGTGGGGGATGGGGGGGCGGGACTGGGTCTGGCTGGGTGGTGGACAGGTGCCTGTGTTCCAGATGCCGCTGGCCGCCCTGCCAACTGGGCCCCAGGCCGGAAGAAGAAGGACTTCTCCTGCGCGGACCGCCTGGTAAGCCCTACCCCATGCCCTGTACCATGGGGCCGCGGGCACCGCCTGACCTTGGACCCCCTCTGCCTCCCCAGTTTGCTCTCAACCTCGGCCTACGCTTCGCCACGCCGGAGGAGTTTTTCCTCCAGTGGCCAGCAGCCCGCTTCGAGCTCCCAGCCTTCGACCCAGTGAGTTCGGGGGGCAAGCGGGGCTCGGGGCAGGAGTGAGGGCACAGACCCCAAGTCCCCCACATCCTCCTCCTGTCTCCCAGTCCTCCTCCTGTCCCCCACATCCCCCTCCTGTCCCCCACATCCCCCTCCTGTCCCCCACATCCCCCTCCTGTCCCCCACATCCCCCTCCTGTCCCCCACATTCCCCTCCTGCCCCCTAGTCCTCCCTCCTGTTCCCCACATCAGCCCCGCATGCCTCCTTCCTCTCGTCCAAAACCTCCAGAGGACTGTCCCGCGGTCTGGGCCCCTCTGTCTGCCGGAGTCCGCCACCCTCTTGAGCACCAGCCCCGAGGTGGTGGTCGCCGTGGGATTCCCTGGGGGTGAGATGCCCTGACACCACCCTCAGTCCGGCCGCCCTCGGGGTCCACACCCCGCTGGCCCCGCACTGACCCGATCCTGCCCCCCAGCCGGGAAGTCCACCTTCCTCCAGGAGCACTTGGTGTCAGCCGGATACGTCCACGTGAACAGGGTGCGACCCTGGGCAGCCTCTACCGGGCCGCCCTGCCTACCAGTGACCTGTCCCCCTCCCCCGTCCCTCCCCTCCCCCGCCCCGTGGTGACCTGTCTCCTCCATCCCTCCCGCTCTGCTCGCAGGACACGCTGGGCTCGTGGCAGCGCTGCGTGAGCGCCTGTGAGGCGGCGCTGAAGCAACAGAAGCGGGTTGTGATTGACAACACCAACCCGGACGCCCCCAGCAGGGCCAGGTATGAGGGGCCCGGAAGGGCTCGCGGGAGGCCCCGAGTAGGGTCGGAGGGGCCGGCGACAGCCCGCATCTTGCTACCCTCACAGGTACATCCAGTGCGCCCGGGACGCGGCCGTGCCCTGCCGCTGCTTCCACTTTCCTGCCTCGCTGGAGCAGGCGCGCCACAACAACCGGGTGGGTTGACCCCGCCCGCCCACCCCAAGGAGGTCCAACCCCTGGCCTCCCCCCTCCCTCTCCCCCCCCCAAACCGCCCGTGTTCTCCACTCCCCGCAGTTCCGGGAGATGACTGGCTCCTCGCACGCGCCCGTGTCTGATATGGTCATGTTTGGATACAGGTACCTCTCCCGAGCGGGGCCCGACGGGGCGTCGCCTCCCCCCCCACCTCACCGCCCTCTCCTCCCCCAGGAAGCAGTTTGAGGCCCCCACGCTGGCCGAGGGCTTCTGCGCCATCCTGGAGATCCCCTTCCACCTGCGGCTGGAGCCGCGGCTCGAGCGGCTGTACCGCCAGTTCTCGGAGGGCTGAGCTCCGGCCTGTACCCCAAAATAAATGTCTATTTTTGTTCCAAGCCTGGTGGACTTTGCGGGGAGGATGTGCCACTGGGGGTCCGGGGCTGTGCCAGACACAGTGCCCACTGCGTGCTCGGAGGTGAAGTCTGGGTCTGCAGCACTGGGCGACCAGCTCCAATCCCGGCTCACTCCGTTCCTGGTCTAAAACAGGACCCAACCCTGCCAGCACCGCTGAGCACACACACAGCCCCGAGGCCGCCGCATGCCTGGGACCCCGACAGGGGCTGCCCGGACCACCACCGGAGCCCTCCTGGCTCCTGGAGAGGGCACGAGAAGGTTCCAGAGGCTAAGGCCACTGGCAGTCATTCCTGGCTTAGGGCAGCTGGCATTCACTACCTGTGCCACGTGAGCTGGTGACGGATCTGCAGCCCCCACCCACCCCAACCTCTCGGGACTCCAATCCCCTCAACACAGGATGGCCCCTGGGTCACTGCTGTCAGCAGCGGGCACAGCTGCGCCCCTCATGTGCAGGAAGCAGTGATAGGGGTTAAAAGACTTTATTGGGGAACAGCACAGGGGCCGGGACCGTCCTCCGTGACTGCAGGGCGCTGTCGTCACGGTGCTGGGCAGGCGCAGTCCCGGGGCCTCTGCTTAGAAACATGGAACCTGGAGGGGGGACAGTGCAGGGGCTGGCGCACCGCTTCCACAGCTGGCCGATGGCCCGCAGGTGCTGGAGGCAGGCCTGTCATCCTGGGGATGGGGCCTCTTCCTGGCCCCCCACGGGTCGCGGGTGCATCCGCCTTCCTTGGGGGGGGGGGCACTCACCAGTCTCCGCGGGGTCTCGTCTGGGACTCCTGAAGGCCCGGCCAGGGCGCCACTACCCCCCCATCTGCAGAGGGAGAGGGGTGGTGAGGGGCAGGGGCTGGGAGGGACAGGGGTGAGGTGGGGGAGGGTGGCGCTCACCCCACGCTGCTGCTGCTCCTGCTCCAGGTTCCGCTGCAGCACCTGCTGCTGGTTGGCGATGACGCGGCGGATGCCGTTGACGAAGTTGCTCTGGTCATGAGGGATGAGGCCGATGAAGATCTTCTTTTCGGAGGAGTAGAGCAGCATGAGCACTCGGATCTCGCAAGAAGCCTTGTAGGAGAAGTGCACGCAGCCAGCCTGGGGGTGCGGGCCGGGCACGTCACTCACAGGCTGGGGTGCCCCGGCCCAGTGAGGCTGGGCTGCCAGGGGCGGGGTCACCCGTGGCAGCCCCTGGCAAGGCAGGGACAGGCAGGGCCCCGGGGCAGCCCGTGGGTACGGCGGCGGTGGGACTCAGGGCACGCAGGGGTGCGTGGAGCACCCGACCGGCTGCACTCACGAAGCCGTTGTCCATGATCCGGCAGAGGCTCTTGAGCGTCTCCAGGTCCTTGGTGAAGTGGAACTGCACCAGGCGCGAGTTGCGGAACAGCGGCACGAGCGTGGTCTGCGGGCCAGGGCAAGGCGCAGGCTGTGCCGGGGAGCCCCGCCCAGCCCTGTGCCCCACGCCCCTTGGCCAGCGCCGCCCCACACTTACCAGCAGCTGCTGCGGGATGAGCTGCATGCACAGCTTCCGCGGCCACTGCTCTGTCCGCCTGTGGACACGTGGAGGGCGTCAGGCGCGGGGCGTCGGTGCAGGCTCCCCACGCCTCCCGGCCCCGCACTCACAGGATCTCCCCCTGGTTCACGTAGACGTGGGACGGCAGCCACCTCTTGGACCGGCTGTTGGGCTCAGGCCTGGGCTTTGGGGCAGAGCAAGGGGTGGTGCCTCAGGCGGGGCAGACCCCACTGGGGGGCCCTGTACCCTCAGGCCTGGTCTGCTCACCTCCTGCCACTCCATCACGCCACTCCACGCCAGGAACTTGTTGTTGACGATCTGCACAGGCCCTGAGTGCATGCCACCGGGACCCACGGCCTGCAGGGGAGGCGGGGTGGGATGCGCCCTGGAGACCACCCCAAGACCCTGCACCCCTGCCTTGACGCCCCCTCCCACCATGCTCTGCCTCAACCGATACCCCAGCACCTCCTGCCCTCCCAAGGCTCCCCCGCTGCCAGTGCCCCTTTTATCCCTCATCCTGGTGGAGCTGCTCTCACACCCCTGGGTAAACTGAGGCCCACCTGCTTGCGGGTGGTGATGACCTGGCGGATGGCATTGACGAAGCCGCTCTGGTCATAGGGGATGAGGCCCATGAAGATCTTCTTCTTGGATGAGTACAGCAGCATGAGCACGCGCACCTCGCATGGGGAGATGTGAGGGAAGAGCATGCAGCCCGCCTGGGGGAGGGGGAGTGCTGGTCAGGGCAGGGGTGCATGCTGAGCTGTCTGCACCTGGGCGCCTGCCCAGCCCCACCCCACTGTCTTGCGACCCATGCAGGGAAGTGCTGCATGGCTGCTCATTAAATGAAGTGCCAGCAAAACCTCTTCTAGGGGCGCAGAGCGTCTGACAAAAGCCCACTCACTTGGTGTCTGGGCAAAGGGGGGACCCTGCTACTTCCTCACTGCCAGCCTAATTTCCCTTTGCCCTGGGTCATGGACCGCTGCAGGCTGAGAGAAGCCCGAGGCCAAGTCCCTGGGGCCGTGGCCTTGGCCTGGCCTCGTGACCTGCCCTGCAACCCCACATTGCCAGTGGGGGGATTGCTGAGTCCGCTCCACCCCCAGCCCTTCTAGCAGGGCAGGGGGGTGGGGTTCCTCCGCCAAGCCACGCCCCTCCAGTGGCGATCAAGCCACGCCCCCAGGTCACGCCCACTCACGAAGCCGTTGCCCATCACGCGGCAGAGGCCCTTGAGCGAGTCGCAGTCTCTGTTGGTGAAGTGGAACTGGGCCAGCTGGGAGTTGCGGAACAGGGGGCCCAGGGTGGTCTGGGGGTGACAAGGCAGGGCAGGTCAGCAGCGGTGGGAGGCCCGGACGTGGCCGGTCATGGGGCAGGGGTGGCGGCGCTCACCAGCAGCTGCTGTGGAATCAGCTGCATGATCAGCTTCTGTGGCCACTGGTCCGTCTCCCTGCGGGGAGGGGGGCGGGTCAGGGGGCGGCGCCGTCCGCCCGGGGCCGCCCACCCCAGGCACTCACAGGTTCTCGCCCCGGTTCACGTAGGCCTGGCACGGCAGCATCCGCTTGAGCTTGGCGGTGGAGTCCGAGTAGGGCCTGCGCTTCTGCGGGGAGGGAGGGGTGGGGCGGGGTCAAGGCCTCGCCCGGGGCCCAGCCCACCCCCCTTCCCTCTGGCCCCGGGACTCACCTCCTGCCACTCCAGAACCCCGCTCCAGGCCAGCAGCTTGTTGCTGAGCCGGTGCTCATTCACCGCCAGCCCCCCGAGGGTCAGCCCCGGAGAAGACGGCCCGATGGGACCCAGGGCGCCGAAGACCCGCGCGCCTTCCTGCGGCAGAAGGGGACACTGAGGCTGGGGCCAGGCTGCACCCACACACTCCAATGGGGACCTCCCTTCCCCTACAGGGGGGCAGGAGGGGTTCCTCTTCTGTGTCTCCCCAACTTAGCCTGCCACACTAAAACACACCCCTACTAACACAGCAGTGGACAAACTTCACTTCCAGGCTCCATTCAACACCTCGTGCCCCAGTGGCCCGCTGCTGCTCCCAGGCTGCTGGCCCAGTGGGGTGCTGCCAGCCTCCCCCACACCCTCTGGTCAACTGGGCCAACCCAACTCAGAAGCCGGATGCCCTGACAGCTTTCTGTGCCTGGCTGTGGGGCCTTGGCACAGCTGCCCCATACAACAAACTAGCCAGCTGCCAGCCTGACACACCACTGGCCCTGTCCCCCAATGCCCAGAGCCCTTCGGAGGAGCCCATCACCCTCAAAAGAGTGAATCAGGACAGCGCGTGGAGGGTCTCATAGCACCATGTGCAAGCAACAGAAAAATGCAAAGCTCCAAATCATCACAGACACTCGATACAAGCCAAAGCCTCTCAGAACAAGCCAGGGAAGGGTCTGGAAAGAGGCAGAAAGCCTATGCATGAATGCTCAGCAGTAGGCAACTCTACATGAAAACATTCTATATGGTATGGTTGATGGGGCTTGAACTCAGGGCCTGGGCGCTGTCCCTGAGCCTCTCTGTGCTCAAGGCTAGCACTCTACCACAAGTCACAGTGCCACTTCCAGGTTTTTCTGTGTATGTGAATCTGAGGACTCGAAACCAGGGCTTCCTGCATGCTAGGCAAGCACTCTACCACTGAGCCACCTTCCCAGCCCTGCATATGGTCTTTTTAAATCTGAATAAGCAGCAAGGTTTGCGTGTAACCCAGCTTCTTGCACATACCAGGCCCTGCCACTTGAGGCACGCCTCCATCCCTTTGCTTTTCGTTTTTGACAGGGTCCCACTAACTTTGCCCTAGTTGGCCCAGGACAGAAATCTTCCCTCCAGCTCCTGAGGAGCTGAGATTACAAGCATGTACCACCACACTGGCTTTAAATTTTCATTTTTGTGGAGCTCATGATGCATAAAAACAATGAACATGTTTGCCATCAGGCCAGGTGACCTGGGGGTGTGGCGATATGATCAGGAGGAAGCTGGGAGCAAACGCAGTGAGGAAGTGTTGGGGTGAAGACAGACAGGAGGATGGCCTGAGGCAGGGAATGGCGCTGCTGAAGCCTGGAGTTTCTGGACATTCAGCATCGGATGGCTGGGTGCTGGCATATGAAGCATAAATGTAGTGAGGGCGGCTAGCTGCAGGAGCCACAGGAGCCCCACGCCCACGGGGCTGTGTGTGGACCAGAGCTGGTGCGCTGCACACGTGCTTGGGGCCTGCATTGGACCCATGGCCAGTGTTTACTGCCATGCCGACAGGCCCAGATTAGTAGCAAGCAAACACGATTAGAAGCCCAACATCACTTCCAGCTACACCCTTCAAGGAGGCAGCCGTCTGGACAGTGAACCCCTCTCTCAGCCTCTGGAGAGTGGGGATTATGAGCAGGTGCCAGCTGGCCCAGCTCGACCCAGCTCCTAGCACAGGAGTCGGGACCTGGAAGCACAGGCAGAAGGACAGGACGGCCCCTTCCCCAGGCCCCTCTGCCCTCCTGCCACGGAGGGGGCGGGCCGCACTGAGGGCCGCGAGGGGAGGGTGTATTCGGGCTAGGTAGACGCACGGGCCTCGCTGTCACGCGTGGTGAGAAAGTCTAACCCAACAGGGAGGCGCCAGGGGCGAGGGCCTCGTCCAACTCCTCGCGGACTCCCGGTGAGCCGCCGAGGCGACGCGGGGCCGGGGCCGAAGCGCGCCCGAACCCCCCCTCCCCCGCACACCGGGGCCAGCGGTGCGCGCTTGTCCGCGCGTGCACCGTCGCGGTGGGCAGTTGGAACCCATCCTAGCCCCCAAGCAGCGCCCGATGTGTGTCAAGGGGGTGCGGGGCCCCGAGGCGCGCGGGGCACGGCGTCCGCCCCGCGAAGGCGGCCCGCATCGGCACGGGCGC